CATATGTATGCTGGAAAGAATTGTCTTTTTCTAGCCACCCACAATTCCATTTCCATGCTCTACTTCTTTATCGTTTGAAAGCCGCTGCTATGCTTGCTGTTTCACATGACTCCGCAGTAGTCGCAGTATGGGTGAGATATCAGAAGTTTTGAAACAGTTACACTTACCGGTTAACGCTTTGAAATAAGACCGGTTTTGCTCTCTCCTGTAAAATTTAGGCAACCTCGCATGCGAGGCATTCGTTGCGGTGTAATCCAAACTCCCACCAGCGAGGTAGTACGGGTCACTAAACCAAATTTTTTCATGAAATTCTTGTTTTTTTTTGCTCCTATCTCGAAAATATCAAGAGCTGCCGAAAAAATAAATGACAAGTTTGTAGGATATTTAATTTTCTACAAAAAGGTTGCACAACATCAACTCGCAAATATCCACATTTTTTGAGATATTGGTCTTTGAAGTATATATTATTACATTTAAAAAAGACGGAAAATATACCATAAATCATAATAACAGCAAACTAGAAAAATGTGCTGTAAACACAATATTATAGTCATAAAATCAAATCTTAATACACTTAGTTTAGCGTAAGAAGTACCTTCAAACATACATACATATACATATGTATCTATAATTAATCAGGCATTGCTTTTCTAACTACTAGCAGTCGTTCCTATTATTTTGTTTTATTTCGACACACATATTTTATTTAAAAAATTGTTGTTGTACTAACCGCAACAATACATAGAGACTTTTTGTTTTTAGTTTCCACACGATATTTGAAATGAGCGAAAATAAGATTATCAGCAGCTCTTCAAACTCAAAACAAAATCACCTAAATAAAATGGGAAAGAAAAAATAGGAAAATCCCACAAAAATACAAGAGCACAAAAATGCAAAGCTAAAAAAGAATCGCAAAATACCTACATACATACTTATAACGCTTGCAAAACACAAACACCAATACACCTTGCTAGAATGAATTAACAAAGGCAAAGTATCGCGAGGCAAGTGCCAAGCAGTAGACAATAAGTCAAGCAGTAAAATGCCAAGTGCTAGCCAAATTAAAACAAAACAAAATTGAAGCGATTTTCGTATGAATGTACATGTATGTGTATGTATGTACTTGCGCGTGTCTAACTAAAACAATAACAATGTAAGCCATAAAAACAGAAAATTCCAACTACTCCTGCAGCTTTAAAAACATTTGTTAAGCACAACACCCTTTTTTTGTTGCAACAGACCACAAGCGACAATTTTCTGCAACTTCCTGAAGTAAAACTTGAAGAGCTAAAAAAACGCAACAGTTAAGAGCACAATACACACCCACATCTATGCATCTATGTTTGTTTATGCATACATACATATGTAAGTAGTATGCACTTGAGTGTAAATTTTCAAAGAGTACTAACGAGGAAATTTCTTTCAGTTTGGTATGACTACATCAGTGTTGCCACATAGGAGCTTTTCCTACCAAAACTGGTAGTTTTTTTTTTTCATTTGGTCGGTTGGTAGGCTAGATTGGATTTTCGTAGGTTCCGTGATAATTAGTAATAGTTATTTGCGAAAAATAGAAAATATGTGTCTCCTAATATTTTAGGAACCTTATTTACACAAATATTACACTGCAGAACTACTTAGGAGCTGGGAAGAATCTCCCACTGGCAGGAGTTATGAACTCTTCCTGGCTACTTCGACAGCATACTGCAAGTTCAGGTACCATTTGAATCAAATGGGGCTTTCTGTAGAGATGACTGTAGGTTTTGTGTAGTCTGGTGGAGGCCACCCCAGAGTATATTCTATGTGCCTGCCCACGAAATATGAATCGCAGACTGATACACCTTGGAGAACGATTGTCTTCTCCATCTAAAATTTGGAATATGGTACCGTACAAGGTGCTTAGATTTTTGAATAGCCTAAGGTTAGAGTGATTACAATTACACCCAGAAAAAAGTAACTTAGGTTTTTCAAACAGCGTCATTTTTTGTGTTTTTTTTTATGTTAGCGATTCGAAACTTTTGAACCCTAAAACCCACCCCTTGAGTGCGCTAATGCTAAGTGCTCATATTTACTCAACTTTAAACACTTTGTGTGTAGCTTTTCTCTACGTGACAAATTTGGTATGTAAAAGTAAACAGACTGTGTTTAATTTTTTACAGGCTGGGAGAGGAAACTGGTTACCTATCTTTAAACAAAATTTTTTTAGAGGAAATTTTAATTTTAAACATTTTATGTTTAAACTGTGAAATTGTGAACAATAAATGTTTAGAACTCAAAAAACAAACTTGAAATTTGTTCTACGCCACTCATATGATAAGTAAATGACGTAACGTAGACGTAGGTTGACGCAGACACGATCTACCTCATGGGATTCGCGTGCTAACGAAAACTCACCACCGCATGGCGGTGACGTTGGCGTTGCTCTCGTCTCTCTCTTTCAACAGTATATTTGATGTGCTGCTACGTACCTCAACCTACGTTTACGCTACGTCGTTGACTAACTGCGCTTTTAGGATCCAGTATAAACACCACCAATAATGGCAGTCTGGAGATAAAGCGAAGAATAACTCTTGCCTACAGGTGCTACTTTGGGCTCGGTAGGCAATTTAAAAGCAGAGCCCTCTCTCGACGAACAAAAATTACGCTTTACAAATCTCACATCATTTTATATGGCGCAGAAACATGGACGATGTCGAACGAAGCTGAGAAGGCTTTGGGAGAATTATTCTTCGCAAGATCTATGGCCCCGCTGCGCTGGCTTGGACATGTTGTACGCATGGAAAACGACGCTCGGGGGAAGAAATCCTTCGACTCCGCACCCATGGGTGGACAACGAAAGCAAGGGCGCCCACGAACACAGTGGAAGGACCAAGTGCAGAAGGACCTGTCCGCACTTGGGAGGAACAACTGGCGCAAATCTGCAAACGAGGGAGGCAACTGGCGAAGTTTTATGTTCTCGGCCCAAACCGACAAACGGTTGCAGTGCCAAATAAGAAGAAGAAGAATGTAAATATATTTAAGTTTTTTCCAATACACATTCTTTTTTCGGAGTTTCCGGCGAGAATTTTCGTACCAAGTTTGAAAGAAAAGTAATTTTTGTTGGTTTGTTCATCATTCCTCATTCTCTCCACACATGTATAGTATCTAGATATGTATATTTAATTTTAGAAATAATCATTGGCTACTGTGCATACTTGTGTGTATCAATCAGGGACAGTAACGGTTATGATCTTTATAATAAAAATCATAATTTAATCGTTAAAATTGTATTTCTATTTTTCTATTTTTATTTTATTTCTATTTGTTCGATCCAGAATACTCGCTATTTTTTATTCTTATTTTTTCGATAATATTAGCTGCGTTCCCTAACTCGCAAGAAGATGCAAGAATTTACAGGAATTTACCAGAAAGCGTTTCCGTACTCGATACTCTGGCAAAGTAGGGGAAAAATGGGAGAGTAACATCGGTACTCTCTTGGCCAGAAGTTGCAAAATTTTACTCGAAGAATTTTTGCTGGTAAAATCTGGTAAAGTGTCAACCCATCAGCTGTTCAATGTTGTCAAATTTTTGTTAATTTGCTTGTGTATTTGCTTATAATTTAGCAGATCGCCAAATGATAAAAAAAAACAGCTATGTAAACAAAAAATGGCGTCCACGGTGTATTTGACGGTTTTACCAGTTTTTTACCGGAAAAGCGTTCCCGTACTTTTTGGGTTGACTCTCTTTTTGGCAGTTTTACAGGTAAAAATATAAATCCGAAATAACGGTTATTTTTATCAAAAAAAAAAATTCTAATCACAAAATAACTATTAAATTTCATTGAAAAAAATAAAATCAAAATTTAACCACTTTTCCTGACCGAAAAAAAATTAAATTAAAAACTAACGATTTTGCGATCTAAAATTAAAAGTTTTGATATGAACGATTATTTTTGATCATGGTTTCAAATGCTTGCTGTATTAAATATTTAAATGTCAAAGAAATATTTACATGCCGCTTGCTGATATCAAGTATCGAAAATTTGCTAAGTTCACCTGCATTGCTACATACTTTTGGGCATCCCCTTGGAAAGAGCTTTATCGCTCATATTTAATGTAAAACATGGTATATATATACCTACATATCTCAATATTAGCACAACAAAAAAGGAATCCCGGCATAATTCTTCCGCTATTGTCTTTTTGTACATACACAATTAGTATAGGCGTAGGTGTATGTGAACATAAATAATTGAAATTGTGCAATAAATATTTAAGTATGTACATACTTTTGTATGTTTGTATAGGATGTGATCATGCAAACGATGATCAAACAACAGCACGGGTTTCCCAAATAGAGTATATCTATCTACACATACATATGTATGTACATTGGGGTGGTTCCAAACAAGTAAAGTCGGAATTTTAATACTTAAGATTTTTTATTTTTTCCCCCATTACGATTTCTAGAAAATATAGTTTCCAAGGAAAATGGTTAAATAAATAATTGGGTAATATTATTGGGAATCTCCTGAATAGGAGCAAAGTTTTCCCGATCGAAAAATATTGGTTTTCAAGAATTCTATACCATTTCTACGAAAAGTTTTTTTCCTCCATATAAAATACATGGACAATTTTGAGCGCTTTGAGCAACCTCTAAAAATATTTTTGATTTCAAAATAAAAAATAGGGGTAAATTTTTTTCGGTGTAAAACAATCCTAAGGAGAGAGAGCATACAAATTTCGAATTTACTTTTTCCCCAGATATGTTTTTGGACCACCCTAATGTACATACATACATACATATGTTATCAGCCCCATTTCTTTCTCCGCTTATCAGTGCTAGCGGTTGTCTTTAGACATACCGCGCAGTGAATTATACACGCTGGAAAATTCACAATAAAATCACCTTTGTGAGTCCCCCACGATTGGGTACATGGGTGATCCCAGACTCTTATGGGCGTGCGCTATCAGCAGCATGTCAAGAAACTATAATCGCATCGCGCAGAGTATAAAACTCAGCTACCTAACTGAATTCAGTATCATAACTCAAAAGCCTTTGCAGTAGCAGTACAACAGCCATAGCAGCGCAATCACTAAAGTATCGCCAGCAAACATCCTAAGCAATCAATTCAATATGAAGACAATCGTACTTTTCGCTGGACTCATCTGTGCTTTCTGCCTCTTCCATGCCACCAATGCAGCGCCAGCTGAAACAACTGCTCTGGAGCTAGAGCCGGAATTCGACCAATTGGCCGTACTGAATGAGGAATCTGTGTCTGAGTTGAGTCGCCAAAAGCGCGCCACATGCGATCTACTTAGTGGCACTGGCGCTAATCACAGCGCTTGTGCGGCCCATTGCATACTTCGCGGCAATCGTGGCGGTTATTGCAACGGTCGCGCTGTTTGCGTCTGTCGTAACTGAAAAGAGCGAGGTGAAATATAAACCAGTGGGAGACAGTTATACGCTTATTTTTTGAAAATACAATTTGAAATATGTATATGTATATGTATAAGAATGTACGCTTGAAAAAAATATTATAATTAAAATTAAAAAAATTTACTTTATACTCAAAATATATGTATAGAAGTCATAAGTATTGGAATTGAAGGCTTTTCTCTATAAAAGTTTCGCTCAGATACCCAGCAAAGGCTGTTCTCTCTGGATATGAATTTCTGGATAGTACTTGGTAGGAAATCTGAAGAAGTACTAAACTCTTTGACTTATTATTAATAAATTGCTAAAACTCTCGAAATATGCAGACAAGTATCAATACATCCCAAAAGCGTTAAAAATCCCGGGAAATTCAAAAAAGTTTCAACAGATCCCGAAGACCTGAAGAAAATTAAAAACTTCAGAAAAGGATTGAAAGGTCTTGAAAGTTCCGAAAAGATCCAACGATATCTGAAAAGTGAAAATTGTCAACAGATATCGCGAGACTCAAAAAGTTCCCACTACCTGAGAAATATCTCACTGGATCTCGAAATTCCAAAAGTATAACTCCTAAATGGATCAATTGAACATGGAAATCCTAAAAGATAATCAAAAGTAATGATGATTGCTGATAAATCGCTGATTCTGAAGAAATATCCCTAAAAATACTGAAGAATACTTCATAATGCCGGAACTCCTAAAAATCGCGAAAAGTCCGGCTGTAACCAGATCATGACGCTTCACGGTGGTCTGAGGGTGGCAGAAAGTACAAGTTTCGAAATATACTATATATATAGTACTTACTACCACGTAATAACCCTTAAATGCTTATTGACCAAAAACTTGAATGAAAATGCTTAATGAATAGGCACTTCTTGAACAGAAGACATTAGGGTGGTCTAAAATAAGTAAAGTCGGAATTTTAATGCTCTCACCCCCTAGGATTGTTCTATATCGAAAAAAATATACCACTATTTTGTTTTTTTTTTGAAATCAAAAAATATTTAGAGGTCGCTCAAATCGCTCAAAGTTTTGAAATGTTATGGACTTCTGGAAAATCAATATTTTTCGATCGGAAAACTCTGGTTCCGTTCAGGAGACTTCCAATAACAATAACCAATTGTTTATTTAACCATTGTTTAAGACTAATAATTTTTTATTTATCCCCCATTGTATTTTCTGCCATTTTCTAGGGGTTTTGGCGAACCTATAAATTATAGTTACTACGAAAAAATGGTTAAAAAAATAATTGGGTATTATTATTGGGAATCTGTCTTGAAATACCCGATATCGCATATTTATAAGGCTACATAAATATATGTATCGCTCATTTCCTGGAAGAACGTCATAAATCAAGAAAATAATAAATACAAGTTTATGGTGCGCGTGCATGTGTGTGGCTCGTTTCCATAGCATACTATGTACATACATATGTATTAGGCCGGACGAGTGATCTATTTCCAAATTTAATTTCAAGGTGTATAACACCCGCATGTCGATAATTTTTCCTACAAGCAAAATTAATTTTCTCTAAGTATAGTACTATGTATGTAGTCACATACCGCTTTGACTTTGTTGGTAGTGAAAATTTGTTTATTTTTAATGTGATTTAACAATGTGAACGTGCGCTCTTACACGCACATACATAAAGTAAGAAAATTAAATCTAGGCCGCTAAAGACCGTTGGCGTCAACATACAAATATTATTGTAAATTACTAAAATATTAAGTCGCACGCAGATTTGACAGTTTAGCAGTCAAGTGTTTTGGCAGCTCTTAATATGTTCGTACCGGCATACTTAAATACATACGGGTATCTGTACATATTTATATATGTATGTATGTATATCTATGCATTAGGGTGCCTCACTAAAAAAAAAATTGCAGTTTTCTTACCGGATTTCGAAAATTTATTGTATTTTAAGACTTCCGCCAATATATTTCTGCAAAATATTAAAATTTACACGAGCTGGACCTATTTGAAAATACCTCAAAAATCTCAACATTTAGATTCATTTAATACATTTTTTAAACATTTTTCTGTTAAGACCTTTTCAGCTTAAATTCTTTAACGTCTGAATAAAATGTTTAAAAAATTTTCCGTTAAGACCTTTTCAGCTTAAATTCTTTAACGTCTAGGTGATTTTTATATTTTTTTAAATATAAAAAAAATAATGGTTTTTTTTTTTGTATGCGGGGTGATGCCCCCTAATATACATATGTATATATGTAAGCCTTTGTATAACTCTGCGACCACTTGCGCCCCCTAATCCAACTAAAAATATTTGGCGCGTTGTTCGCATTTTGCACGTATGTACACCTTGGTACGCCCACGCGTACATATTTAAGAAATGCGCGGTAATCGTAAAATAATATTTCAACGTCAATAAGCCAAATGTGACAATAGTGTCAGTAATTCTGTTGACAAATTGTTTGAACATTTTAGAGATATTGAATTGTTGGAAAAATTTTAAATTTGAACTAAAACAAAAAACATCTATACGAGATGATTTCGAAATGGTCCCTGGGAGGCCTTTAGTACGCCTCTGCTCTACTAATCTGAAAGTTAAACTAATGCTACACTGTGAGCCTGGCTTAACTTTTTGCAGCGGCCTGTCAAGTAGCCAAGTCGTTCGGAGTTTCCTCGGGAGGGAGTTTCGAATAGCTTACGTTGAGCTTGTCCCTTCGTCATTCGCCACTAGGCTGCAATTTAAGAAATATATAGTTGGCATCCCTTTAGCGGACCTTAGAAGAGCTGTGGACCTCTCGAGATTAAGACTCTAATGGCGTGGAACCCTCCATTAGGTGCCCTAGTTGTGTATACCTAATTGTTTAATGATTATTTTGAATAATCTAGGGCTTTTAGTTTTGCCTGCCTCGCCGACATGATATTTATTTTGACCCTTTATTCTTTCTAGGAAAACATTCAAGGCCGCAGAATTCAATTGCAAAGAACAAACTCCTTAATCTCTTTTACCGCTTCACAGACCTCGCCGCGACGCGGCGTTTCTTCTGAAAATACTTCTTCAGCATCAAGTTGGTCGACTTTTCCAGCAAGGTCTGATCTCAATCTACGTCTTCAGCACTGATCCGTCTTCGTCTACCTTCTTTGCTAACACAAAAGGTTTCAAAAATTACTATTTTTCTAGTGCCACAGTCCACGTAAAAATATCACATCTTTTTAACATTGTATCATCGTTTTTTATATAGACAATAGTTAAATGATTAACCACATTATTAGACAGATAGATTTGATAGAAGTTGTGCACTGCGACCTTGAGCCTATTGTGCCCTCAGAGCTTATGACAGAACCTCTTCCAACGCTAGTTTCGAGGGCGGCAGAGAGTGAATGTGTGTAGCCTTCGGTCACAACCCTCCGAGGCGTGTTAGTCGTCTTCTCGCAACCGCACCCCACTCTAAAAGGAGATGCAATGGGGTTTCTGCTGTCATGTCACAGTTGCGACAGGAGCAGTCTGCACTGATCCCCAGGATTTTTATATGGGCCCGCAGCCGTGGCTTGTTAGAAGTCGTTTTATAATTCTTAGTTTCGCCTTTTCAAGGGCGACTACCTCTTGTTGTTGTAACCTTCCAAAAGTTCTTTCGCCTGTCTTAGTCCAGGTGTTCCCCTCTGAGCCTTTACTCTTAACTTTATCCTGATGGTATTAAGTCCCACGGCGGGGAAGGGCTCTGGCCCTCTAGGACAGTTAGCTTCTGCTTCTCTTGCAAGTATAACCCTCCCAAGCATATTGCTTTAGGTGCGCCCTGGCCGTAGCTAGAGATGGCAATATTCTGTCTCCTTAGATACCTCCGTAAAATTAATTCCGCGCATGGCATAAACCTCCGCTTGGTAATTGCTATCGTAATTTCCCTAGGAAATGGAGAATGTACCCTTTGAGCCATATATTTTTTGGGTGTATGGCCAAAAAGTGTAGTCTAAAATTATCTCGTTCCAGGTCGCTTTGCTACCAAGTTAGAGCTTGAACCTGAACCGCTGAAGCTTGGAAAGCGATCAACTCACTGAACTGAGCGCGGTCTTATCGGACCAAGCCACCACCCTATATTTAACTATTATATAGAGCGTTTTTGAACCGAATGCTGAAATAGGGCGTTCTTTAATCAAATTCTGAAATAAGACGTTGTTGAAGACTTTTCTGATATAGGACGTTTTCAAGCTGGCTTCCGAGATAGGTCGATCTTCCACTTAGCCGTTAATATGTAGTTCATTAAGAAAACTGTATGTCGTTGAATTCTTTCAGTAACTATTTCATATTAAATAATGTTTTTGTTTACAGTGTTTAAAGTTATAACACCCACACTACATATGAGCGAAACGGCAACTGTGGCGAGAGGGAGTTTGGAATCCGCCCTTGAAAAAAGCCCAGAAAAGGAAGAAAGGTGAACGCAATAATAACGACATCGAAGAGAACAACCACGCCGCGTTAAAGCTACGACAGCCACGCGCTGTTTCAGACAAATTCGCAGTAATTACGGCTGATAGTATCAATTTCCAATTGTAGCGCCGCTCAGTTGCATTACTCTGCCATCAAAATGATTCGTGATGTCTCCAGCTCGACACTTGGTCGAGAGGAAGAACGCAAGCCGCTTATGGCAGCGTATATGTTCCAACGCCGCGTACTGCTCGGTTGCAGCGTGCTAATGGTGCTCTCGCTAATCATGTGGATTGTGGCGATTTCGACAGATCATTGGGTGATTATTACGGGTGGTAAAGGTAAGCAAAATGTCAGCAAATATTTATGTACATTCTATCTTAGGAAAATATTGTTAGATATTTGTTTACACAAGTGCACGTACATATACATATGTATGTGCATATATAAATGTACATATGTATGTGTGCATTTGAGCTGGACATTGCCAATAAAAACAAATTGCATTTATTTGTTTTAATAACAGCTCATAAAGACACCCACCACACAAACACAAAAATGCCTTGACGAATTTGCAAATTTTTGAGAATGCATTTTAAATAATTTTGTTATTATCTTTGTTGCGATATTATCGTGTATTTAATTTTCGTTTTGCATTTGCATATTTCTTTTAAAAATTTTCTAAAATTTCGGAATTATGCTCGACAAGTGTACAAACTGAGAAATGGGCTGTACAAAGCAAAAATCACAATTTTATGATGAGCGGTCGGCGCTAGAAAATTTAAATAGTATATTTTCGTAAATATTTACATATAGTAAAAGCGCTTTATGATAGTATTGCGGCACCGCATCCGCCGAAGCGTAGACTTCCGGGTTTGGTTGCGCCTTTGTACTTGGTTTTTAAAATTACTTTGTATATACATACATCTTTTTCGGTTAGTAGTTTTGCTAAGCATAGCCAATTAGCTACATAATTTACATGTTTGTATTTAATGTCTGATTTAATTTTCGATGGCGTAGTCCCGCAATCACAACAAACACACTAAATAATTTTATGAACATTTTTCACCGAATGGATCGTTAAGTTATAAGAATGTTTTTTTTTTATTATTTTTTTATTTTTTTTCCTTATTTTTTTATTTAATCATCCCTTTGTGTTATGAGGAGAAACCTACAGTTAAAAAGAAATGTGAAACTAGAGCAGCGCGACTTAAAAAAAATTGTTCGTAAACACTATATATGTAGCAAAACATATGTATTTGTTCACTTTAATTTGTGACCTAACAAGTTGTTTAGCAAGCTCATTCATTCGATTTTCCTTATATTCCCTCCTAGGCATCTTCATACCGGAGACACGTCGTTTCTTCATGTACTCCCACTCCGGCTTGTGGCGCCATTGTCGCTACACCACCACGCCCAATGCCCTGCCTACCGCCAATGTGGTGCGTAACATTACCTCAATAGCTTATGTGAATCCCAGCACGCTCATGGATGCCAAAGTAAATGCTTCGGGTTTAGATTTTGTACGTGAATTTAGCGAAGAAATTGTAGAAATGCCAATGAAGAACTTCACAGAGTCCGCCAGGCGACGTATGTTTGCGCATTGGGTACGCAATGATGAGCTCGAATTTCAAACGTTCAAGAAAGCCTTTCAAACTCTTGTGCTGAATACAAATGCAACACGTGCAGAAATAATACCAGCACAGGCCAAGCCAATAGCAATTGATCCGCTCAATGTGCGCGATATAGAAGCACGACAAACATTTGGAACGGCCTTGCAAAAAGTGGTGGTCAATTCGACATCGTATTACTTTGTCATACCTGAAGCAGCGCAATTGGCCATATTTCAAGGTTGGAATGAGCGGCAATATGTACCGAAACTATTTTGGCCATATGTGCGCGATTTAGGCGTGCCGGCGTTTGTGTTGAACGATCATCAGGTGATATTGCAATTGGTGCCGCCACTGCCACCAAGCCACGGTCGCGAGTCGAATGGTTATGTATACCAACCAACTGGTTAGTTGCAAATATGTAGTTAACTAAAAGATTAATTGAAAAAACTCACCGCTTTATATTTTAGAGCGTTGCAAATACATAGATATGTTTCCCAATTCCAATGCGCTGCGTAGTGACCCCGGCATTGATGACGAGCTGATGGGTAAGCACATATTTATTTAGCACTAATTTCACACTTTGATTCACAATTAAACTCGCACTTTTTACAGATTATATACGCACGCAGGCTTCTTTTGCCTGTATCACCGTTTTCGTAATGGGTTTGGGCTCGATTTTCTCATTTTACACTTTTAAGAATCCGCGTTATATGTTCAAGCGCCTGGCAGGCGGCATTGATTTGGTGTCAGCCTCCACTGCTGTGGTTGTTATACAAGTTTTAATATCTTCCGTAGATTACACTAGAACACACTTATTTTATGCGTATCCCGATGGAGCGAAACTAACGTAAGTATTTTTAATTGATAATTTTAACATTTTCATCAAATATTTGCACAAACTTCAGAATAATTTTCACAATTGCGCGCGTAACGGTATGCTTCCGCTTCCGATAGCTGGAACGAAATTTATTTACCGTTTCGTTTACAAGTTGTTCCGCGAGTAGTGATGCCACGTGTGCATTTTTTTACTGTAAATTGGAAATTTGTTATTTAAGTAATAAAAACACGTTTAAAAGAGCATATTTTCCTGTTAAAGAATAATAGTTCTTTAGTCATTATAAACATTTTATAGCCTCCATAAGGAAATTTATATTTTTGCCCTAAATAGTAATTAATCAATTAATATTGTTTAATTTTTTTTACAAAATTTATTTTCATGCCATTTTTCCAAATTTTTTTTGCCATTCTGTCTTCAACATCTGTGCTTCTAATCGATAAAAGTTCGTAAATAATGATAAACTACCGATACATACCAATTGTAACAAAATTAATAGGGCTGTTGAGGATATTGTGCATATGCTCTTGGATTTGCATATTCGTTGCTTTTATGCAGCATAAAAAAGATTTGTAAATGCAATTTCAACTGCAAATCCAATACCATTTGCACAACATCCTACAGCAGCCCTAATAAATTAAAAGGTATATGTCGGATTGGAAATAACCAGGCTCGATAAAGGCTTGATATTAATAATAAAAATTATTACATGGATTTCTACTTTTCCGATCTAATTTGATCGTTGTTCAAGGATTTTAATTTTTGGGATCAAGAATAATAGATATTTTTGGGATTTTCATTTTCTCAATCCTGGTATAACCCTCACTTTCAGACCTTATTTTTTAGATAACAAAAGACTTAAATCTGTGATAAAAATGCATTCCCAATTAAAATGGTTAAAAATTATCGAAAAAAATTTTAAATTAAAAATAACGATTATTTTCAGAGACATATTAGAGACAGTTATAAGTTTTATCGAAAAAAGTTATTAGATGGGAAATATTTTTTATTTCACCGATAAGAGTTATAACCCAACGTTTACTTTTTACGTTGCCTGATAACGGTTACGCCGGAGATATATGTATGTTTTCCCTCGGCAACAATAGTCAGTTCCCAACGTTTATTTTTTACCTTGCTTGATAACAGTTAAAACCCAACATTTATTTTTGCGTTGTCTGATAACAGTTATTTCACTCCTCTTATATTTTCATCGTTTTTATATCCGTTTTTGTAAAATTTCTTATCTTGCAATGTTTATCAGACAGCGTAATATAAGACGTTGCATAATAACTGTTACCAAAAAACATATAATATAAACCTTTGGTTAAAACTCTTATCGGGAAAATAAAAAGTATTTTCCATCTGATAGCTGTTATGAAACAACGTTCGTTCAATTTGTAAATTCGAGATAACAGTTATTTTTGGTCCCCGACTATTTTTATCGAAAAAAAATTAAAATTACAAATAACAATTTTGCAATTATCTAAAAATCATTATCTTAATATTTAACGGTTATTTTCGTTCACTGAAAATAACAGCTTAATTGGAATTTTACTTAACTTAGTTCAAAAATAATGGAAATTTTCGCTAAATGTTTGGCCGAGCTGCCACTGAACGACAGATGGTTTTTAACATGCCTTTTCATGGCGGACATGCATTCGTTGTTTTGCCATTTCCTACCGACATCATCGAAATTTGTTAGCTTATTATTTTAAAAACTCAATATCGCTTTAATAAGCTCTTGATTATATTCTTTTCAGATACGGCTATGGCGTCTACTTGGCTTGGTTTACTTTTATGGTGAACCTTGTGTGTGGTCTACTATTTATATGGTACTCCGGCAAAAAGAAGGGTGCTAAAGCACCAAACGATGAAGTAGCTATGGCTGATGAGCCCACCATTATGGGCAGATAATAAGCTCCACAGGATTTAGCCAACAGTTATGGTTGAACATAAAAACAAATGCCCACCGACTATCTGCGTACCTTATGATACTCACTTGTAGACTTCAAAATCAGAGCGTTTTCTTACGGAATACAATATCATTGATAGGTACTTATACCAGACATAATGGCAGTGTTATTCTAGCATAGAAGGCCCAGTTAAATATTAAATCGAATAAAATATCTAAAAACTTTATAATTAATTAACAAAGTTCAACGATATTTAGAACTCGAAGCTAGTCAGAACTTTTTTGGGATTAATACAAGTTTTTTAGTTCCTATATGGCTAATGCGTAAATCTATTAAATAAAGAGAGAAGAAATTTTGCATACATAGGTATGTACACATAAATATATGTAATGTATGTATGTACGTACATATATAAATCTATGAGCAATCAAATCGAAATTAAAAAGTCACTATTTTTTAAACACTCAATAAATGTACAATTTTCATCGTAAGTTATGCTTGGATGTACACATCTCAATAAAGCACATTGGTAAATATCTGTGGCCATAAGCAATAACCGCCTAAGTCGACTTAAAAAAGAATTGAGTTATATATGCTATCGTATTCTGCAACTACTATTCCATGTGTATGTGAAATCCCCATCTCGCCAGCTAGGCTAATCAAAAAATTATAGACGAACATACTATGGTTTCCCCATAAGGTTAAAATTACAATCCAAATATTTGAAGCGCGTTTTTCGAATTCAGGTTTTTCGACTTAGGCGGTTATTGCTTATGACCACATATAATGTGCTTATATGTTTGTATGTATAAATGTTTTATTCACTTTAAACTTGTTCACTGTTGAATTAAATTTTTAAGCAAAAACAGCTGTTATACAAATTTAAATGAAAGAAGTTTTCGCCAGATGTAAGGCTTAAGACTTAAAACTATTTTTCTAAGGTAGACAGCTATACGAAAATAAGTTTTTCCTATTGCCTTTTTCTATTTATAATAAAGACTTTATTCATAAAAGAATAATATATTTTATTTTATTTTCATATTGCCTTGTACTTAAGCGGTAAGTATTTTAGAACTGGTTAACTTATGTTATTAAAAAACAGTTTCAGGAAAGCAATTCAGGTAATAAGTTATTATTTTTTTACTTGAATTTAATTCGAAAACTGACAGAAAGAAGAATATCATTTTGGACTTATGTATATAAATTGCTGATGAAACGAACAATAGGTGACAGATTTGCGGAACTTAGTGAGAAGTCATGTCCGTTCGCAAATCTGTAATATATTTATGTAGTTTCTGACTAAACTGATAAAGTTAATATATGCTAAATTTTCTGAGAACAATAAAGATTTTATACAAAGAACGAATAATAAAACACCAGTCACAGAAAATTGGGGATTTTTGTGAAATCTTCTACAACAACAATATGGCAATGATGGTTATGGCTGGCAAGCACAGGGTGTGTTGAAAAGTTCATTTAAATACAAGAGTAAATTTGATTTGAGCAGATGCTCTTATCGGTGCTTGTATGTACACATATCTTAAACTTAGTAAAGATTTTATAATAAAACATTTAACCTTTTATTTATTAAAAATAAATTTTTCCTTTGAACTTGCGCGTATCTTTTTACTTGCAGAACACTTGAGTAACCCTGTGTGGCCACGTCCGCAGCTGTCAATGACAGTCTGTCATTGCGATGACAGCTGAATTTCGATATTCAAGGGATGCAGTGAACGTGAAACGCGTGTTGTGCTGCATTTTGTGTGTTTTTTAGCACAAATTCTGAACGAAGCTATTTAAAACTTAAAAGAAAAGGTGAGCGGTGAATTAAAATGTAGTTTTTTAAAGAAACTAAAGCAATTGCCATATTACATGCATGACTTGCTGGTGCGCTCAGAGCTTTGTTTTGCACTTTGCCATGTGATGCAGCGGACGTGCGGCTGTAAATCGGAAATAAACCAGAAACAGAATGAAAGCAGTTGCAAGCTTTCAGGTCGATGCACTTTAAATGTGTGAAGGTGGAATCTTTTTGTGTTTATAGAAATATGTATAGATTCACTTGTGAAAACTAAAATTACCAATGTGACGCAATAGCGACACTTCTGTTGAAAACTGAGTGCGTGCCCCCCCCCGGAGCGGAGCGTGTACTCTGGTCAATAGAGATTACGTGCCTCAGTGCTGTTTTTATGCTTTAAAACGTGTTGCTTGAACATTCTTGCATTCTTTTTCGAGATTCTACTTTGTGTTCATTGTATTTTCTGTGCTTATCATTTGCAGACGAACAAAGAGCTTTGAAAATGGTAGCTGATAAGGAAAATATAGCAAATGCTGGCGCCGCAGTTGAAGGCGAGGCGACTTCAAAAAAAGGAGCCAAAAAACAAGCGAAAGAGGCTTTAAAAGCCGAAAAGGTTAAACAAATTTATAAAAAAAAGGAAAGTTCATTGTATTCATAAAAGTAATTAACAGAAAGCTGAGCAGAAGGCCGCAAGTTTGGCTAACACTGGCGAGGAGACTGGCGATGCTGTCGATGTGTCAGCCGACCGCTATGGTTCTGCAGGACTTATTCAATCAAAAGAGAAATTTGAGGATCGCAAATTTGTAGCGGTTAATAAGCTAGCCGAGCAAGTAAGCAAAGAAGAACTTGTGTGGGTACGCGGACGTGTGCATACCTCCCGTTCGAAAGGCAAGCAATGTTTCTTGGTGCTACGTCAGCAGAGCAGTACGGTGCAAGGTATTTTGGCTGTGGGTGAACGTATTTCCAAACAAATGGTGAAATTCGCCGGCAAGTAAGTTTGACCATGTATTACATAAACACGAAAAAGAAGCTTTCATTTATAACAATATCCATTATGTACATATATTTTACAGCGTGAGTAAAGAGAGCATAATAGATGTCCAAGCGAAAATCGTTTCCGTGCCAAATAAGATAGAGTCTTGTACCGAACAAACAATTGAATTGAGTATCGAACAACTCTTCGTAGTGTCGCTGGCCAAACCGCAATTACCGCTGCAAATTGAAGATGCCTCCCGCCCCGACAACCCTGATGTAAGATGCGATTTGCAATTCCATTACCTCCGTAACTAAATATTCATTTTTACAGGACCCTGAAGGTCTTAACATTCGTGTGAATCAAGATACTCGTTTGGATAATCGCGTTTTGGATTTACGCACTCCAGCAAATCAGGCAATTTTCCGTTTGGAGGCAGGGGTATGCCGTTTATTCCGTGATATTTTAACTGCAAAAGGATTTACGGAAATACATACACCGAAAATAATATCTGCCGCCAGTGAAGGTGGTGCAAACGTGTTTACTGTCAGCTACTTCAAGGGTGCGCAGTCTGATTTTACTCGGTAAAATTCGTTGCTAATTAATTTGTTTATTCACAGATTCCGCATACTTGGCACAATCGCCCCAACTATACAAACAAATGGCAATTGCCGCTGACTTCGATAAAGTTTATACAGTCGGGGCAGTTTTTCGTGCGGAAGATTCCAATACTCATCGCCACTTGACGGAATTTGTTGGGCTGGATTTGGAAATGGCTTTCAAATATCATTACCATGAAGTGTTACATACTATAGCCGATACACTTACGGAGATTTTCAAGGGTTTACGCGACAATTACAGTCGTGAGATTGCGGCGGTAAATCAACAATTCAAAGCTGATCAATTCAAGTTCCTCGAACCGCCACTGATATTGGAATTCGCAGAGGGTGTGAAAATGTTGCGTGAAGCTGGTGTAGAAACGGGCGATGAAGAAGATTTGTCAACACCCAATGAAAAGTTGTTGGGTAGACTTGTAAAAGCTAAATACGATACCGATTTTTATGTTTTGGATAAATTTCCACTTGCGATACGACCCTTTTATACGATGCCGGATCCTAACAACCCCATTTACTCAAACTCATACGATATGTTCATGCGTGGTGAGGAGATAATCTCTGGCGCGCAGCGTATACATGATCCCGATTTTCTAACTGAACGCGCCAAACATCATGGAATTGGTGAGTTTTTATGAAACCAGAAAATAGAGCGTTGCCCCTTACTAAAAATTGTTATTTCTCCAACAGATGTATCAAAGATAGCCGCATATATCGAATCGTTCCGTTTCGGCTGCCCACCACATGCAGGCGGTGGCATAGGTATGGAACGTGTTGTTATGCTTTATCTGGGGCTCGATAATATTCGAAAAACATCAATGTTCCCACGTGACCCTAAAAGATTAACGCCTTAAGGTGTTTGGTGCTGGATTAACAAAAACAAAAGAAACGTGCAAAAGAATCCACTTAGTTTATACAAATTGGTTTCAATCACTTTTTCCGCTCATTTTACTCTTTCGTATGTTTAGCCTTAATTCAAACGAAACACAAATTCTTTTACGGTTTTGATGTTGTCTTTTTTTTAATTATCACTTACTTAATATCTACTTAAATATGTATGTAATTATGCCTGCAGTTCCTTAACAACTGATTTATATAGTATAAATGATGTCTGCATTTCGATTAATCATATATCGCTAGCTTAGAGTGAACAGTTGCTAACTTCACTTTCTATGAAAAATCATATTTTGATGCAGGAGGCTAGATAAATTAAAAATGCATCGTTTCGAAAAGGGTAAAGGTGTTTTATGTTTTCTCGTTTATATTCAATGAAAGGAACATTTGCTAAGTCCAAAAAAAGCTCCGAAAATTCGATAAGGCCAAAATAGTTCGAAATATTTTAATAAAGATTGAATCCTTTTGATTCGTATGGAGTTTTGCTTTGATTTAAACAGGCAAAATGTTGTATTCAAAGTTTTGCGAAATACTTGAGAAAATGGCTATAAGAACTTTTTTCCTCTCCTGTACAATTTTTAATTTGGGACTTAGCAACTTTGCACTCTAAGCTAGCGATATGTATGTACTACTAACGTAAAGTCTGAAATAAAGTAGATAGAAGACATCGTCACAAAATTGTATGCTAATATCCCTTTGAGTTTTATGCTCACGGCTCGGTTGTTGTTGTTGTAGCAGCAGTGTTCAACCCCCCGAGGTTTCGTCATTAGTCATGTCCTTGGTCTAGGTGGTGAAAAGTGGGGCGGTTTAGTTAGACTGTATAATTGCAGTTTCTAAGGATGTACGTGATTCCTTAAGTACAATATTTTATATGGGCATTTCCAGGGGATGGTCTTTATTGTCAAAAATTAAAAGTTTAAAAAAATTATACATGTATCTATGTGAGTTATGGTCGAATCTGGTTTATTTTTTCAATGTATGCATATTGGTTGCATATCCAAGAATATTTTGTCAAAAAATGTACCCGCTAGGTAGCGCCGGGTTCGAAATATTTTGAAAGCCCGTATTTATGGACCGATTTCGTTAAAACTGGTGACATGTATTTTATACATAGTAAGAAATATATTAAAAAAGTAGCCGCCTCAACAGCTACCTATCCAGACTCGACCTCAATATCCAGACCGTAGCTGAGCCACGGTAACGCGGGTCTCTCTTGGTAGTTGAAGCTCCGTCTCTTCTACAGGTGGTGATTGGGCCCCGAACACGGCATTCAGGTAGGTGGTGACCGATTCCCTATAAATGTCGTTGACAGCAGGTTCTACGTACCGGAATAACTCGGGTTTTTCCCGACCAAGGGCTGTTGTTTCGGCGACCTAACCCCATTTAGATCGGCTATACCCTTCATGCGATATCTCGTCTTTTATATCGAAAGCAAATTCCTACTATTTTGGCCCTTGATATGCAGATGATCGATTAAAGGTTCCTGAAGAGATTCAATTGATACACGCTGACACGCAATTTATATGCTTATATGAAAAAAGTTAAATCCCTTTTTTTCAAATCCAAAGTTGAGCGATTGGCATGAAAGGATGACGTTTAAAATTGCAAAATGATGTTTTTACTCAAGTTTACAATGTGTAAAACGAAAAGTATACCCAAGACTGTAATCTCGTTAGGAAATGAGACGGATACGCCCACTGATTGATAAAGGCCGGAAAAATGGCGATTATCGTTCGTCAAAACAGGCATGTTTGTACAAGCTCAGCAATCTTCCAGCTTATCTTCAAACAATTGGGGGCCGATTATCTACTATATCAGACATCCATACGCACATATATACATATCGATGGCTGAGTGGAAGATCGACCTATCTCGGCTGCCAGTTCGAAAACGTTCTATCTCAAAAAACTTTTCAAGAACGCCCTATTTCAGAATTATATTGAAAAACACTATGCGGCGGAGAGAGTTTTTCCATGTGGAGATTAAACAATGTAGGGAAAAGTAAGTAGCCTTTGGGGACCCGCTGTTTAATTCTACGAAGCTTTGACTTGGCGTTTCGGAATTCGACCGATGATTGGCGTCCACACAGAGAGCTGGTTATCCACCGCTTCGTCTGATTCGGAAGCAATGAGTTCAGAACGTCTTGGCAAACAGGCGCATGGTTTACCGTGTCGAATGCCCTCGACGGTTCAACCGGGACTAGGATCGTTTGAACGGTAAGAGTCTACTGCGTCCGCCTTCTACCCTAGCTTAAGAAGGGTAATGATCCTACCCATTTTCCAAATCTCGGGGATGATCAGGGTGAACAGTGGCAAGTTGAAAGCTTTTGTGATGTATTCGACTTACTGCATGGGAATTCCGTCTGGGTCTAACACCTTGAATGATTTGGCGTTCTTGGCAGCTGTCTGCGTCTCTAAAATTCTAATAGCGGTCGCTCCTCGGCAGGTGATGACAAACCTCCGAGTGTATTCGGCCATGAAAAAGAGCCTCACGTTATGCCCGTTTTCTATATGGCTCAGAAACGCGGACGCTGTCGAACAAAGATGATAAGACTTCGGGTGCTTTCAACAGAATTAGAACTAGATCTGTGGCCCAGTTTGCGTGGACGATGGGCTTCTCAGAAGATTGAATGATGAACTGTATGAGCTTTTTAACGACATGGACATGGTTAAGCGCATAAAAATACAATGATTGTGCTGGCTTGCACATGTTGTACGCATGGATAACGACGCTCTGGTGAAAAGATCCTTCGATCCGCATCCATGGTTGGACAATGAAAGCAAGGAACAAAAAGAAAGGTCCAAGTGCAGAAGGAACCTGTCTGTACTCGGGATAAGCAACTGGCGCAAATTGGCACAGGTGAGAGGCAATTGGAGAAGCCTTTTGATCTCGGCCAAAACGGACAAACGGTTTTAGTTCCGAATAAGAAGAAGAAGAAATGTTTCAGCAAAATCAAGAAGTAAATATTTCTACCGTTATCATTATCCAGACCCACGCCTTACCCCTTGTCATAAAAAATAAGCAAATCATTTTCGTGGTTGCTTGCATTACGAGTTATCGCGATTCAACTGTACTGCAATCGTTACAAAACAAATTCTACTGTGAAGATATATAGAAATGAATTTTTGAGTGGTGCCCTTTTGTAACCAAATTATATTCTTTTTTTTGTTATTTTTGGGAACATTATTTCATTTGGTGATATATGTATGCAGGTCAGGGGCGAACGCAGAGGGGTTTGGGGGTTACACCCCCAAGATAAAAATTTAATATTTTTTTTTGCGTTTTAAAGCTGAAGCTATCAAAATATACGACGCACATTTAAATTTTTACACATATTTAAATGAGCAACTTTTCTCTAAAATAAGGTTTGCGCAATTTTATTGTGTAGTCATCTCCACAATATTGACTTGTATAAGTCCCGGGTTGCACAATGAGTTTGTGTTGTTTAGGGGCCCTATAAGTTTGGTTTTCGTAATGCAAATTCTATGTTTTCGTTAAAGCAAGTAATTTGAATGTTTTTTATAGCTATAGATTTAACTATAAAATTTTATTTATTATTTGTTTGACACATAATAGTTTAAAAAATAATAATTGTGTTTGCTTTTGATACTTTTTGATACTTTTTCTGTTTGGCAACTGATCAGTAACGGATCCAGCGGGGGGGTTTTGGGGGTGAAACTACGTGTCAGTCAGTGGCGGACCCACGGGGGGTAATTTAATACATAGACGCCTTATTATACATACATATTCACCATATTAAAACCCCCAAAACCCCTCCGCTGGATCCGCCACTGCAACTGATACTTTTTTTCAAGCTCGCGGCAACGTTGCATACAATAATAGGTATATGGATATGCTACTATAGGGTCAGCTTAGCAGGTAGGTTAATAAATTAAGAGCGGGAGATACATACATACATGGGCTCGCAAGAATACGAAGCCGGATTTCGATTTAAAAACCTGAGAATATTTAGCATATGGCCACAATGGATTGTATTTTGCCGAAGCCGCCAGCGACGACAATAGAAATAAGTCTATCGCCGCGAACGGTCGTCAGGCGACCTTCGTCGCTTGTTCAGGTTGTGCGCAAGGCGAATTTATACAAATCAAATTCGTTTTTTCCATACAAAGTTTGTACTCCATTACACTAAAATTTAATAATTATAAAATTGCTTTATATTTTTTCTCTTAATTCAGATTATAAGGTCGGAAATTTTAAGAAGCCTTACTGATTTGGTTTTTTTTCTTTTAAATATTGCACACAATTTGAAATTGGATTTGGGTGTTTTTTTTTTTTAGATTTTTAGCATAGTTTTGCAATTCGCTAATACATCGTATTTTGCGGTTCGCCGCCGAACTGTGCTTTTCATTCGACGGCGAGTTCGCCGGCGAGTCGTTGGCGAACGTCGCCAGCGAAGAAATTGTTCACAAGAACGACTCGGAAACGACGTCGTTACGAAGTCGTTTGGCAAATTGGTGTTGTTTAATTGTTACAGCGAACACTCGCGGCGAAAAATTCGCCGTTCGCCGGCATTGTGTTTCGGTTGTGAACGGTTAAGGGAGTGTCAAAACTGTAATGGCACTAGCAGTGTTGCCAATACCCTTTGACCCGACTTTTTGAAAATTTTGATTTTTGACCCTTTTGCAAAATTATGTGCGACTTTTGCCCCTTCTCAGAGATTTTTTAAGGAAATGTTAACAGAACCATGCTAGTAAAAAAATATTTCCTACTGTAAGTATGAAAAAAATGCATCACTTAAAACTTTTAAAGGAAATGCAAATAGATTTTTTTTGTATGTTTCCAAATCTGTTTGTGCAAAGCTCGTCCCGCTATTTTACTTTATAATACATTTAAATTTGATTTTGACTTTGGTTCTCAGATTTATTCTTTTACTAGTAAAGAAAAGCAAAAATAATATGGTGACCCTTTTTTCGTCATTTACCCCTTTTTTGCGACTTTCTGAAAATTTTCAACGGCAAC